TATGGTTTTAAAATTATTTTAGAAACTTATTTTAATAGGGTTCAAAGTCATTGGTCTATAAGTAGATCTTTAGAACAACTGCATTTTAGGGGGAATTTATTGTAATGTTAAAATAGAATAAAACATCTCTCAAAATATATTAATAAATTCATCTTAAAGTAAATTTACTTTATTATTCTACTGATAGAAAGTATAACATACTCTATTTTATTATAAAATTGATATGTAAGATCATTTTTAAATATGTTAATTTAAAAAAATATTTTAATAATTTTTAAATATCTTAATAATTTTCTCTTGTAATTTATGTTTTAAAACAATTTGCTTTTAGTACTTTTAAATTTGTTGTCATCTTTATTGTGTGTCTATTTCTTAAGCTCCTATTCTTTAAGATTATAGATTATGCCAGTACATCTAGAAAACAGTAGTTGTGAAATGTTTCATTTAAATGAGTTGTTTCAGTTCACCAGACATACCTCTCTGTGGGTATTGATTATTTTTAGAAGTTCTTAAATATATTTCTAGTGTAAAAAATAATGTAAACTATTACTGAAATATATAAGACAGAGAAAAGAGGAAAAATTGTCACATTTCTATCCTGTCACCAATAATTGCTTTCATGAAAGCATTTTAGTATAATTTCTTAGTTTTTTGTTTAAAAACATCTATATACAGTCATAAACCCCATAATGATGTTTCAGTCAGTGCCATACTGTGTATATATGTACGATGGTGGTCCCATAAGATTATAATGGCTATATCATGTAGTCTTGATGTGTAGTAGGCAATATCATCTTGGTTTGTGTAAGTATACTCTATGATGTTCACACAGTGATGAAATTGCCAAATGATGGGTCTGAGAATGTTTCCCTGTCTTTAAGTGATGCATGACTGTACAGTTTTCCATATTGCTTTAAAAATATTTTATGACTTTTTTCATGTTGTAAAGACAGGCTATATTGTGCAGGCTTCATTATTATGTATTTTGAAGGATACTTAGTATTCTATCCAGTGTATGCAGGACAATTTGCCTAATAGCATTTATTCTGTCATTTGACAGTTATTTTTCTTTTTTCTTTTTTTTTTGTCTTTTTTTGTCTTTTTCCGTGTCTGGCAACGGATCGCAACCCTCAGTGTTGTCCCCGTACCGGACCGGGGACCGGCAACAGGATTGCAACCCTCGGTGTTGCTCCCGCGCCTCGCTCAGCCAGTGAGCGGGAACCGGT